GCAGTGGCATGATTATAGCTCATTGTAACATTGAATTCCTGGGCCTCCCAAGTAGCTTGGATTACAGACGTGTGCCATCAGACCTGGCTAACTTCCTTATCCTTTGTGAGACAGGGTCTCACTATGTTGTCCAGGCTGGTCTCAAACTCCTGGCCTCAAGCAGTCCTCCCACCTCAGCCTCTCAAGGTGCTGGGATTACAGGCATGAGCCACCACACCTGGCCCCTTTTTCTAAGCCCGTTTCCACAGGGTGAAATGAAGAAGGCCAGATGATACCTACACCTGCACTGCAGTGCATGATATTAATAGAACAACCCTGAGCAGAGGGAGCTTAAATCTTTTATAATGCATCATAGTTCTGCCTACCCTTTGCTCCAGAAGGAGATGCTTGCATGCTCTCTCTCTCTCTTTTTTCTGAGACAAAGTGTTGCCCCATCACCCAGGCTGGAGTGCAATGGCATGATCTTGACTCACTGCAACCTCTGCCTCCCGGGTTCAAGCAATTCTCCTGCCTCAGCCTCCTGACTAGGTGGGGTTACAGGCACGCACAACCATGCTCAGCTAATTTTTTGTATTTTTAGTAGAGATGGGGTTTTACCATGCTAGCCAGCCTGGTCTTGAACTCCTGACCTCATGATCCGCCCACTTTGGCCTCCCAAAGTGCTGGGATTACAGGTGTGAGCCACCGCGCCGGGCCAGGAAACACTATCTCTCTTCTAAGACCATTCACTAAACAAAATCCTTCAAAAGACAAGTCTGGACAAAGGCAGGCAGTGCTCTGCAGTCACATGAGACACCCATGAAAAACTATCTCCCAGGCCGGGCGCGGTGGCTCATACTTGTAATGCCAGCACTTTGGGAGGCCGAGGTGGGTGGATCACGAGGTCAAGAGATCGAGACCATCCTGGTCAACATGGTGAAACCCCGTCTCTACTAAAAATACAAAAAATTAGCTGGGCATGGTGGCGCGTGCCTGTAATCCCAGCTACTCGGGAGGCTGAGGCAGGAGAATTGCCTGAACCCAGGAGGCGGAGGTTGCAGTGAGCCGAGATTGCGCCATGGCACTCCAGCCTGGGTAACAAGAGCGAAACTCCGTCTCAAAAAAGAAAAAGAAAAACTATCTCCCAAGATCAGGTTGTTTATATTATTGTTATTTATTTATAGAAGCTCTTTGCATATTAGCAATATTGACTCTTGATATACAATTTATAATTATTTCCCCCAGAGTTTTTGTCCTTGCCTTTATTTACAGCTTTGTGTGTATATGTAGAGGGGAAGTACAAAGGTTTAAAATTAATTTAATTAATTCATTTTTTTTTAGATACAGGGTCTTGCTTTGTCCCCTAGGCTGGAGTGCAGTGGCAAAATCATAGCTCACTGTAGCCTTGGACTCCTGGGCTCAACCAATCCTCCCGCTTCAGCCTCCCAAGAAGCTGGGACTACAGGTGTGCACCACCATGCATAGCTAATTGTTAAAACCTTTTTTTCCTTTCTTTTTTTTTTCTTTGTAACAGAGTTTCACTCTTGTTACCCAGGCTGGAGGGCAGTGGTGTGATCTTCGCTCACTGCAACCTCCACCTCTGGGGTTCAAGCAATTCTCCTGCCTCAGCCTCCTGCGTAGCTGGGATACAGACATTTACCACCACACCGACTAATTTTTGTATTTTTAGTAGAGATGGGGTTTCACCATGTTGGCCAGGCTGGTTTCGAACTCTCAGCTCAAGCAATCTGTTGCCTCGGTCTCCCAAAGTGCTCTTAAAATTTTACTTTTCCCATTAAGTGTTTGATATCTCAGATGTATTTTAGTGTAAGGAGTGAAATTAAGATTTGATGCTTACATTTTTTCCCCCAAGGGTGGGGAAAGTAGTCTCCAACCTCATAAACTGAAGCATGCAGGGGCCACCATTGTGGGGTTTGCAAAGGTTAGGTTTTATGTTAGGGTCTCAGGAAAGCTTTGAGAATGTCAATTCCAGCTGGGTGAGGTGGCGGACACCTGTAATCCCAGCACGTTAGGAGGCTGAAGCAGGTGGATCATCTGAGGTCAGGAGTTTAGGACCAGCCTGACCAACACGGAGAAACCCTGTCTCTGATAAAAATACAAAATTAGCCAGGTGTGGTGGTGCATGCCTGTAATCACCACTACTTGGGAGGCTGAGGCAAGAGAATTGCTTGAACCCAGGATAACAACAGTGAAACTCCATTTCAAAAAAAAAAAAAGAGAGAATGTCAGTTCCCTGGGAATGGCTTATTTGTAGGACTTGGATACTGTTGAGAAGTTCTGTTTGGGATAGTTTGCTCCTTAAAGGCTTTGGGGATCTGTGGTAGGTAGGAAAGTTTCGTGGCATCTTTGCTAGGGTTTCCTGGAGGTGGTTATTGCAGGGTTTCCGGTACTGACTCCCATTGTGGCGTCTCGGAGATGCTGAACTTGTCATCATGTCCTGTTTGGGTAGGTCTATTATAGAGGGTCTCCAGGAAGGGCAGCCTCCTAAATCTCAGTATCTTCTCACCCTACAGCATCCCTCTTCGTCGAGTCCACTCTGGACGCAGGACCCTGAACCTACTGAGGGGATGGGGAAAAGCAGCAAAACTCCCCAGTTTGGGGGCCCCATCCCCTGGGGACAAGCCAGGCTTCGTGCCTCTCTCCAAACTCCTAGATGTGAGTCACAGCCCCACACAGCCCCCACCCCAGTGCCCTCAAGTCAAACTCTTCATTGACTCTGTCTCCTCTTTTTCATCAGGCCCAGTATTTTGGGGAAATTGGGCTTGGAACACCTCCACAAAACTTCACTGTCACCTTTGACACTGGCTCCTCCAACCTCTGGGTCCCATCCAAGAGATGCCACTTATCCAGTGTGCCCTGCTGTGAGCTTCTATGAGAGAGAATAAGGCTGAATGGGGGTGAAGGGAGGAGGTGGGGCTGGACCTCAGCTTTCCACGGGTTTTTGAGAAATTGTTCTTTTCTGACACCCTCAAAGGTCAGGTCAAAGGGGAAGAAGGCATTGGGAAGACTCCCCTCCCCCAGTGACACCTCTCTGACTTCTACCTAGGGGTCCACCACCGCTTCAATCCCAATGCCTCCAGCTCCTTCCAGCCCAATGGGACCAAGTTTACCATTGAATATGGAGCTGGGTGGGTAGATGGAATCCTGAGTGAGGACAAGCTGACTGTACGTGATCTTTGACTCCAGGAAGCCTTGAGCCTGGGTGAACCCCATTGTCTAAGATCATCTGGCTTAGGGAGGGACTTGAGGTGGAGGGGCTTCCAGAGCAGATGGATGGGGCTTCTCAAGGAGGGGGAGGAGTTCCTGGGTGAAGGGGTAGGAATTCTCTCAAGTCCAGAGGCAAAGCTTGCCAAGCAGGAGGGTTTGGGTCCAGGTGTCCCCAGACCTGGAATTCATGCCTTGGTTTGAAAGACCTCAGGACATGTGGGTTATTGTCCTCCCAAAAGTAACTGACCCTAAATTCAACCTACCCCTAGATTGGTGGAATCAATGGTGCATCAGTGACTTTTGGGGAAGCTCTGTGGGAATCCAGCCTGGTCTTCACTGTGTCCCGCCCCGATGGGATACTGGGCCTCGGTTTTCCCATTCTGGCTGAGGAAGGAGTTCAGCCCCCGCTGGATGTACTGGTGGAGCAGGGGCTACTGGATAAACCTGTCTTCTCCTTTTACCTCAACAGGTACTGGGGAGGGTGCACCTATCTTTGAGTCCTTTCCCCAAGAAGGAAGTGAGGTTTCCTTCAGGAAGTGTCTTACTCCATAGAGAAAGCCGCAGTTTGGGAGCGGTGGCTCATGTCTGTAATCCCAGCACTTTGGGAGGCCGAGGCAGATAGATCACCTGAGGTCAGGAGTTCCAGACCAGCCTGGCCAACATGGTGAAACCCCGTCTCTACTAAAGATATGAAAATTAGTCAGGTGTGGTGGCATGCACCTGTAATTCCAGCTACTCTGGAGGCTAAGGCAGGAGAATCACTTGAATCTGGGAGGTGGAGGCTGCAGTGAGCCAAGATTGCACCACTGCTCTCCAGCCTGAGTGACAGAGTCTGTCTCAAAAAAAAAAAAAAAAAAAAAAAAAATTGCAACCTTTATTCAGGAAGTAGTCACCTAACAGAAGAAACACCTCAACCCTCTTCATAAGTCCCAGAGCTTACGTGACAATTTAAGATGTACTAAAGAAACTCACCATCAGTTCAGTATACTGTTTCAAAATCAAACTAGAATTTTTTTTCTTTTTCAAAGGTGTCTCACTCTGTCAACCAGGCAGGAGTGCAATGGTGTGGTCTCAGCTCACTGCAACCTCTGCCTCCCGGGTACAATTAATTCTCCCTCCTCAGCCTCTTGAGGAGCTGGGACTACAGGTGCTCACCACCACGTCTGGCTAATTTTTGTGTTTTTAGTAGAAATGAGGTTTCATTCTGTTGACCAGGCTGGTCTTAAACTCCTGACCTCATGATCCACCCATCTCAGCCTCCCAAAATGCTGAGATTACAGGCATGAGCCACTGCGCCTGACCAAACTAGGAAATTCTATGTACCACCAACCAAATACTCAGCAACCTTCTCTTCACTATAAAGAGAACTCATATCCCATTTGAGAACACTGACCAGAAGTCAGGAATTGCCTGATTTAATTCAGGAAGCCCCACCCACCTGGGAGGAAGTTCAATCTTATGCTCAGAAGTCCCACCCACCATCCAAGAAGTCTTCACTTTCCTTCCCAGAGGGCCGACACACACAGTCTTATGCCCACTGGGTTACCCTTACATCCAACCCACTCAAGAAGTCCCATCTAGCACTTGGTAGATCTCACAAACATATCTTCCAGGAAGTTCCCATCCCCATTTCCCATCATTCTCAGCCAGCACAGGAAGTGTAACACATCTCTAGATAGTGTTAGATGCACACTCTGAATGAAGAGACCACCTAAACAGGCTTTGTATGAGCAACATGGCTGTTTACCCACCCAGGTGTGGGCAGGTTGAGTCCGAAAAGACAGTCAGTGGAGGGTGGTGGGATAGGAGTTGGTTTTATAGGTTTGGGGTAGGCAGTGGAAAGTTACAGAAGTTACAGTTCAGGGCGGTTTTTGCAAGCTGGGAGGGGGTCGTAGGGTCTGGAGTCATGAGATTGACCAAAGTTGGTTACAAAGTCCAATTGCCTTATCAGTTGAGGTGGAAATAAGGAACAATAGAAGAATGTCTCAAAGTCAATTAGGCCTGGCAGAGTTACTCACTCTTTTTGTGGTGTTCCTTTTACTTCAGACTTTCTAGTTCCAGGAACTCATCTGGAGTGTATGTGCAGGTCACAGAGGTTACCATGCCATCCATGGCACAGTCAGTCAGCCTAAAATACCTTACAGATACCACAACAGGCAATCCAGAAAGTCTCTCTGCCTTCCCAGGAAGCCACCCCACTCCTGCACAAGTCACATCTTCAAGAGCCAATTCTAAGACTTCTTCCCTGGTCTGCTTGGTTACTACAATATTCAGCTCAGGAAATTCCCCCAAAAGCTCTACCTTCCACAGCCAAATGAAGTCTCTTCTCCATTTCAGGCAGTACCCATCATCCTAAAGTCCTAACTTCAATCAAGACAAGCACCATCTCCCTTCATTTCTTGTTTCCAGTCTCAACATCTAGGCCCTGCTTGTATTCCCCTCCCCCACCCAGAACCCCTAAACTGACCCAATTGGCAGGAAGTCCCATCTCTGGCCACTGCTAGGGCTGGCAGGGGGAGGGCCAGTGACACTGACCTCTAACCTCTGCCCCTGCAGGGACCCTGAAGTGGCTGATGGAGGAGAGCTGGTCCTGGGGGGCTCCGACCAGGCACACTACATCCCACCCCTCACCTTTGTGCCAGTCGAAGTCCCTGCCTACTGGCAGATCCACATGGAGCAGTAAGGGACTTAGTCTCCTGGGTCTGGAGCAGGAGGCTGGGGACCTGGACTCCTAGGAGCCTGCCTCTACTGACTGCCTCCTCCCCTCTCAGTGTGAAGGTGGGGCTCAGAGCTGACTCTCTGTGCCCAGGGCTGTAGTGCCATCCTGGATACGGGCACACCTGTCATCATAGGACCTGCTGAGGAGATCCGGGCCCTACATAAAGCCATTGGGGGAATCCCCTTGCTGGCAGGGGTGGTGAGATTACAGTTTCTGGTGGGTGTGTCCTGGGGAAGATGGTGGCAATTTGGTGGCGAACACTGGGGCCTGAGGGTGGGAAGCAGGTAGCTAGGGTGTATCCAGGACAGAGGGGACTGGGCTCCTTCTTTTTTTTTGAGACAGAGTTTTGCTTTTGCTGCCCAGGCTGAAGTGCAATGGCATGATCTTGACTCACTGCAGCCTTTGCCTCCAGGTTTGAAGCGATTCTCCTGGCTCAGCCTCCCAAGTAGCTGGGATTACAGGTGCTCACCACCACGTCCAGCTAATTATTTTTGTGTTTTTAGTAGAGACAGGTTTTCACCGTATCGGCCAAGCTGGCCTCGAACTCCTGACCTCAGGTGATCCACCCACCTCGGCCTCCCAAAGTGCTGGGATTACAGTCATGAGCCGCCGCGCCCTGCGAAGGGACTGGGCTTCTTAAGTGACATGCTGGAGAGTGGTGGGAAGAAACAAAGATACTTCCCAAGTGTCTATGCTGAGTGGCTCAGTGGATGGGGAAGCAGAGGTGGGAGTGGGGGTGGGTGGAAGATGATAATGCAGTTTTGTTTGGGACTAGATGAGAAGCCTAGGCAACAGAGTTGTCCACACACGGTGCTGAACGCCCAGGTGCTCCATACGTACATTACAGACAGGATTTGAGCAGGGCAGGAATCTCTCATCTTAACTTGTTCCTCTTCTTTCCCAGTACATCATCCGGTGCTCAAAAATCCCACAGCTCCCCGCAGTCTCCCTCTTCCTTGGGGGGGTCTGGTTTAATCTCACGGCCCAGGATTACGTCATTCAGGTAGGTGTCCGTCACCATGACGCCGCAGTGATGTAATATGACTGGGATTGAGACGGTGGAGCTGGGAGTTAGTCATCACTAGGACAGGAAGGGGCCACAGAATCATCTCTTGTCCCCGGGGTTGGGGGCGGAGGGAACACAGACTCCCAGGGAAATGGTGGTCCCTGAGGCCGCGACACCCAGTTGCCGCCTTGCCGCCATCCAGTTTGTTCAGGATGACTTCCGCTTCTGCTTGTCCGGCTTCCGGGGTTTGGACATCCCTTCGCCTCAAGGACCCATGTGGATCCTCGGCGACGTCTTCTTGGGGGCGTATGTGGCCGTCTTCGACCGCGGGGACCTGAAGAGCGGCGCCCGAGTGGGCCTGGCGCGCGCGCGCGCGCACTCGCGGAGCTGACCTGCTCGGCTCAGGCTGAGACAGCTCAGGCGCAGTTCCACGGGTGACGCCCAGGCATTGCGCATGCGCAGCGGGTAGCAACGCTAACGCTACTCAGTAAAATCCAGTATTTCCATTGAACAAACCTGCCTAGGTTGCTTCTTTTCCGAGCGCACTTTTTGAGGAGAAACTTTGTGCATGGACCCACGGAGTTGAGGAAGAGAGAGAGGCCAAGGGTATCACCCCTTTTCTCCAGGGCCCACCCTGGTGAGGGGTCTTGTACTACGAGTCCCATGAAGCCCCCTCGTCTACGCTGCCTTTCGTCAAAGGCTCCCGGCGCTGCGGAGCATCACGGTCGTTGTAGTCCATGCTGTGGTTACGCCCTGACGGGGGCGGGCGCAGCCACAACATGCGTGGGAGGCGACAGGTCGCGACGGCAGCGACAGGTGGCAGTGGGGGGTGGCTGTAATCGGTACGGGTTTACCAGTTCCTGTTCTAAGGGGCGGGGATAGCATTCCCTCGGACCTCATCTCCTGGTTCTCCTCTCTCCCTTGGGATTTAAGGACCCCAGGGTCCGCCATAAAGGCGGAGCTTGAAGCCCCTGGGCTGGGGGAGCGGTGCTGCCCCTCCTCCGGCGGTGATGTCACTCCCCCCTCCGCAGCCTCTTGCTGCCCAGAGCTGCCGGGGCTGGGTCACCCCTCCCCCTATCTCGAGTCCCGGATTCCCCCATCCCCGCCTCGCCTCGACTTGGGGTGAGTACGGGGGAGGGGGCGAAGGCTCTGGGTCCGGGGGCGGTAAGACAGCCCGAATCCTAGTTTTGGAGGCGGGGGACTTCGGATCCGGGGACCCAAAGATTATAGCGGAGAGATTCCCCTCGACTCTGGGCTTTTGGGGGCCAAGGAACTTGCAGCGTCTTGGGGGAGGAAGGATCGTAGGCAGGGAGTCCTCACATTTTCAGCCTTGGTGTCCTGAGACCAAGGCTCCGAATGGAACCGGCGGAGGAATAAGGAAGGGGTCCTAGAAGTCAGGGAGGGGAAGACTCTTCCCCACTTCCAGGGCCTGGGGTAGAGATGGTTGTCAGGGGACGCCGAGGATGACGGGAGATGGGAGTTGGAGCTTTCAGGAATTTTGTGCTTCGAGGGCCTGGGAACGAATGGATTGGGGAGGAGCAGGGGTGGGAAAAGGAACTGAAAACGCGGACAGACGTTGGCCTCTCCCCTCCTGGTGTCCCTAGTCAAGAGTCGAGGCTACTTCCCCCTGGTCTGCGAATATAGCTGAGTGTCCAGTATGTGGAGCCCTCATGCTTCCAGAAGCCCCCTCCTCTCTAATGGGTGGGTGGAGACTCCAGGCTCACACATCCTCCACAAGAGGGAATGTCGGTATCCCAAGTTTCCCAGGGCCTGATGGAGTGTGGACCAGCCTGCTATCCCAGCCCGCTGCCTCTTCCCCTCCCAGGGCCTCTAATCCTGAGTCGCATCGCACATTGCTCCTTATTCCAGTCCCTTTCCCCCACAGCCCCTGCCTTCTCCCATACCTTCTGACCTCTGCAAAAAAACGCTGATTTGGTCACTTGATCCTGTGCCTGGCTTCTGTCTAAAGCAGAAAGGAAAAGCAGGGTTGAGGGGAGAACGTGGAGAAGGAAAGCTGACGAGGTCCTTATCTGGCCTCTAGTACATACCCAGCCCCTGCTCTCGCCCCCACCATCCCACCCCCAATTACCCAGGAGCCTCACCCAGCCCCAGCTCAGTCCATCACCTCAGGATTCGATGCTTCTGCCTGGTGGTGCACCAGAATTCGGGGCGGGAAGTACCTATGTCTTTTCTCTGCCCTCTTGGGTCCCATCGGAAGCTGGAGGACATGGTGGATTGGTGCAGTGGAGAGCCCTGGGTCTGGGGAGTGAGGGCAACGACCTTCCTGGGCTGCAGGACAGGCCCCACTTCTGCAACTCTCTCTGCAGTGACGCAGTCCTAGCCAGGACGGGGGTTAGAGGGGGTGATGGGGGAGCTGAAAGAGATGGAGACCCAAAGAGAAGGGGACAGGGTCCCCAAGAAGTAGAGACAGAGACCTAGAACAAGAGAGCAAGAGACCCAGAAGAAGGTGAAACAGGAATAGAGACCCAGGGAGGAGACAGAACGTGAAGGGGCAGAGACTTGGAGAGAGAAGGACAGAGAGCCAGCAAGAGAAAGAGCAGAGACAGAGGGGGAAAAAGGGACATAAGAGGGGGAAATACACCAGAGACGGGGAGAGGGAAGGGAAGGGGAAAGAGGCTGTCAGAGAACAAGGAAACAGACTTAGGTGAAAGGGCAGAGACCCAGAGAGGAGGCAGGACAGAGCGGGGTGGGGTGGGGGGAATAGAGAACAGGGACACAAAAAGAGGGACAAAGACCTAGGAAGTGGGGTACAGAGCCCCAGACAGAGAGACACGCCCCTGAGAAAATGGCACAAAGACCAAGAGAAAGAGACTCGGGGGAGCTGGGGTGGGGGCGGGGACTGAGACACCGGGGAGGAGAGAGTCCTAGAGAGAAGAGGGTCAAAGACTCAGAAGGAGGGGGACGGAATCAGAGACGCAGAAGGAGGGCCGACTTACAAACAAGGGGCTGGGGACTCAGAGGGGTGGGGACAGAGACGACGGCACAAACACTCAGAGAAGGGAGAAAAAGAGACACCAAGAGACCCAGAAACGGGAGTGGGGGCGGGGCGGGGTGGGGAGGGGAGACGATACGAACCGGCCGCCGCAACTGCAGCGGGAGGCGGAGGGCCAGGAACTGCGCTGCCCGAGGGCGCCCGCAGCCCTCTGACCCGCCCTCTTCATCCCGCAGGCGCCGCCTCCTCCCTCCGCAGCCCCAGCCGCAGCCGCTGGCCCCGCCCCAGCCCCCTGCGCCTGCGCCCTGCTTCCCGGAGCTTAGGACCGCCCAAGGGGCGGGCCCTGCCTGCTCCGAGGCGGTCCCTTTTCCTGGCCACCCGCCCCTAATTCGCCACCCGCTTCCCCGGACCTGGCCTCTCAGACTCCTAGCCCACCTCATTTTTTACCGGTCCTGCCTATTGCCTCAGTCTTGACGGTTCTTCCTAGCGCTTTTGCCTATCCCCTCTCCCGTCCTCTCTGCCTACTTGCATCCTCACCAGTCCTCATCTACCCCCGGTCCTCCAATCTGCAGTACTCCGCGGTGTAGCCTACGTTGGAAGTTCTCGCCCCGCCCTTTGAGGATCCCGTGACCTTTAGGCAGTGCCCTCTCCCAGGTCCTCTGATCCCCAAGACTCCCCGTTCCCGGTCCCTCTCTTCCATCCAGCCCAGTAGCTTTGTACTCCTTGCAGTCCCACTGTTCCTCTGGGACCCACCTATCCTGTTCCTCTACCCTCCCTTAGCTCTGCCCTGCCCTCGCCTGCCCTGGTTGCTTTAAGCCCCTCACAGCCCCGCTCCTCCCTTAGTCTCTCCTTCCTACCGCCCATTCAAGTCTTTATCTTTTTATTTTTTGAGACAGAGTGTCTCTCTGTCGTCCAGACTGGAGGGTAGTGGTGCAATCTCGACTCACTGCAACCTCTGCCTCCTGGGTTCAAGCGATTTCTCCTGCCTCAGCCTCCCGAGTAGCTGGGACTACAGGCACCCACTAGCACTCCCGGCTAAGTTTTGTATTTTTAGTGGAGGCGGGATTTCACCATTTTGACCAGGCTGGTCTCGAACTCCCGACCTCAAATGATCTACCCACCTCGGCCTCCCAAAGTGCCGGGATTACAGGTGTGAGCCACCGCGTCCGGCCTCAAAACGTTTTCCGTTTGTCGACCCCCACTCACCTTCCTCAGTCCCACCGATCCAACGGGACACTCATCCTCCGGACCCAGCCCCGACTAACCAGACCCACCTTGCACCCTCAGCCCCGCCCCTCTTTACTCGCCCCCTCCTTCAGGCCTATCCAGACGCTCTCGGGTTTTCAGGCCTCTCTCAAGTCTCCACGCCTTCTCACCGAGTCTGTCTTTGATCTCCTCCCCCGTCCCCTTTCAGTCCAGCCTGGTCCCCTTTCAGTCCAGCCTGTTCCCCTTGCGCGGGAAAGTCCTCCGTCTCTAGTTCCCGCCCCAGAGCAGTCACATCTACACTATTACTACTTTCTGAGGCTCTGCCCCTTCCAAGCAATGCTCCTCCCCATCATGTCCTGCCCAGCGGTGTTTTAGGTGAGGGCGGGCCATCTCTTTTGTTTCTCTCCGCCCCTTCCTCAGTCCAATCAGGACCGCCGCTCTCATGGTGGCCCCGCCCCTCCAGGCCAGTCGGGCTCTTTTAAATAACTTTGACTTGTCCCCACCTCCTTCTGCCCCACCTGCACTTTTTCAGTTCAATCAGGTCTCTCTCTCTGGTATCTAGCCCCGCCTTCCCCCTGCTCCCAGGGCCCCCGAACACAATTAGTAGTAACCGGTCCCGCCTCCTTCGACGCCCCGCCCCGCCCCTCCGCCCTTTCTCTCTCGGAAAGAGCCAATCGCTGTGTCTCACTGGCGGCCCCACCTAGTCCAGCTGGGTCGCATTAGAGTCCCCGCCCCGTTCCTCCCGGCCACAGCCCCGCCCCACCTCCCCCAGCCCAATCAGTTGGGGTTCTCTCCCAGAAGCCACGCCCCCACCACTTCGCTCGTCCTCCCACCCAATCCCGCGGGTCTCTCTCCCTGCGTCCCCGCCCCCTGCATCCCCGCCCCTCCTGCCCCGCCCACCGTCCAATGCTGAGCTCAGTCTGCGTCTCATCCTTCCGCCGGCGCCAGGGGGCCAGCAAGCAGCAGCCGGCGCCAACGCCGCAGCCGCCAGAGTCCCCGCCGCCGCCACCGCTGCCGCCGCAGCAGCAGCAGCCTGCGCAGCCCGGCCCCGCCGCGTCCCCGGCGGGCCCCCCGGCACCCCGCGGGCCCGGGGGCCGGCGCGCCGAGCCATGCCCCGGGCTGCCGGCGGCGGCCATGGGGCGGCACGGCGGCGGCGGTGGCGACAGCGGCAAGATCGTGATCAACGTGGGCGGCGTGCGCCATGAGACGTACCGCTCGACGCTGCGCACCCTGCCGGGGACGCGGCTGGCCGGCCTGACGGAGCCCGAGGCGGCGGCGCGCTTCGACTACGACCCGGGCGCCGACGAGTTCTTCTTCGACCGGCACCCGGGAGTCTTCGCCTACGTGCTCAACTACTACCGCACCGGCAAGCTGCACTGCCCGGCCGACGTGTGCGGGCCCCTGTTTGAGGAGGAGCTCGGCTTCTGGGGCATCGACGAGACCGACGTGGAGGCCTGCTGCTGGATGACCTACCGGCAGCACCGCGACGCCGAGGAGGCGCTCGACTCCTTCGAGGCGCCAGACCCCGCGGGCGCCGCCAACGCCGCCAACGCCGCGGGCGCCCACGACGGAGGCCTGGACGACGAGGCGGGCGCGGGCGGCGGCGGCCTGGACGGAGCGGGCGGCGAACTCAAGCGCCTCTGCTTCCAGGACGCGGGCGGCGGCGCCGGGGGGCCGCCAGGGGGCGCGGGCGGCGCGGGCGGCACGTGGTGGCGCCGCTGGCAGCCCCGCGTGTGGGCGCTCTTCGAGGACCCCTACTCGTCGCGGGCTGCCAGGGTGAGCGCGCTCTCGGGTCCCCTATTCACCCCACTCCCGTCTCCGGGCGCCCCCAGACTCCCAGGAGCGACCCAGCCCCACCCCTCCGGGTCTCTTTAGGCTTCTCAGTCTCCTAGAAGCTTCTTCCCCAATCCTGAGACTCCTGGGCTCCTCCGAACACACCCCCCTCTCACAGTCATCCCCCGGATACTCCAAAGACCAATCTCCAACCTTCAGGCTCTTTCACACCCCTCCAAACCTCACCCCGGCTCTCCAGGCCACCCTAGACCCTTAGACACGACCTGCAGACCGTGAGTCTCTCTGCTTCAGGGGGTGCTTCTCTGAACAACCCCATCCCCACCTTTCCTGGGCCCCTCTGAGACCCTCCCCAACCCTCACCTCTCCTGGGCCCCTCCAAACCTCTTCTGACTACTCTTGGCCACCGTCCAGCCCTTGGTTTCTTGGACCTTCCCCAAGCCCTCAGAAGACATCTCATCTCAGCCCTCAAAGTGTCCTAGGCCCTGTGAACACTGTCCCCCACTTTCCTCGCTTTCTGCAGGCTCTCCGGGGCCCCCTCTTCAACTCTCAGTCTCTCCCAGTATCTCCCTGATTCACCCCGTGGCCCCTCTCCCAGAACACCTCGCTCTCCAAGTTTGAATCTCCTGATTATTTTTTCCACCCCTCTTCTGCTCTCAAAGTCTCATCAAGCCCCCCACCCCACCCCAACCTCATAGCCTTCTGACCTCTCTGAACCTCCACTTGCTCTTGCCTGGACATTTTCACCTCCCCCTCGCTTCAGCACTGAGTCTGCTGGAACCTCTGGGCCCCCTCTGCACTCTGTGTTCAACACTCATCTTGCACCACGCCAACTCCCATCCCAAGGACTTTCCCCATAAAGCTCCAGACATCCCCCAAGCCTTTCACACTCCTCCTCGGTGTCTCCAGAAGCATCCCATGCCCCCATCATATGCCTTTCATCTCCAGAACCCTCATATGTCCTGCAGAATTGCTCTTCCTTTTCCATAGATCCTTACAGCTTCTCCCTTCCATCATTTTATCTGCACAGCCCACTCTCTACCCCTGGGACTCCCCCCACTCCAAAGCCCCCACAGCCCCTTTCCTAGCCTAAGTGACTTGCCTCCCTGCTCTAGAACTTTTTCTAACCTCAAACCCTGGGACACCCCTCAAGTCATCAGCCCCAAAACTTTCATCTCAGAATAGCTTCCAATTATTTCTACCTTGCCTTGGTATTCCTTCCACCTTCCCTCTTCTTTTCTAGAACCCCCACTGTGCAAAACACAGAACCCAGCCTCTCAGCCTGTCCCCCTCCATCAAAGTGAACTAAAGAGCCTTCTCTCTCTCCAAATTCCAGATTTTCCCCAAAGCTCTCTCCATAGTTCCCAGGAAACTTTCCTCAAGCATCCATAACTTCCTAGGCTAAATGACTACCCTCCCCCTGGGTTCTCTCCTGAACCTCTTCCTCCTACCAACTTCCTCCCTGTCCCGGAGACCCCGGAGGGAGAATGTGGTGGAAAAGAAAGGGGCAGTGCAAAATGGGGGCAATCGGAAATGGGGAAAATAAGAACGATACCAGGACCCCTACCTAGGCTCCTGGGGACCCAAACACCCAGGGGAGCAGGTCTTGGCTCCCTCCCCCCACCGTGCCGCGTCCTGAGCCGGGAAGGACGCGGAACCGCAGTGCCGCATTCGCGCCGGGGGAGGGAGGGGGGGCGCCTGGAACCACCGCATAAAGTTTGGTCCCCAGAAAGCGCTGAGTTGGCGAGATTTAGGGTTTGATGGGGGGAGGTGGGGAAGAGGAGGTGCGGAAGGCACATGGCCCTAGATGCCGCCCCCAGACAATGAGAGGCTCCTTCCCCCATGGCCTGGGGCGCCCTTCTTTCCTGTGACTCCACTGAAGGGTGCTGAGGTGAGAGGCGGAATGAAGGTAGAGTTCTTCGGTGATGATCAAGGTTCGGGACAGCTACGCAGGTCATTCATTTACTCTACAAATGTGTTTTGGGTGTTCACGGTGTGCCGAGCCCTTTCCAGTCTACCAGTGAGATGGCTTGAGAGAGTTGGGAGCTGAGGCCAAAGCAAACTGGAGGGTCGGATCCTACAGCCCCCTGCCCCCGCCCCTTCCCCGTAATCACTCCTTTCCTTCTTACAGGGACTCCAAGCCCTCCTACCACTTCTGCTTTTGAGCCACCTTGGGGTAAGGGGTTAAACCAGCCCGACGCCGTCCAGCCTCTGCAGCTGCGCACTGCGGCGGGTGCCCACCTTTCCTTGTGCCCTGGGAGGGAAGGAGTTAATCAGGCTTCTGGCCCGAGGCCTCCCGCCGGAAAGCAGCCACACTGCGGCTGCGTGTTGAATACTAGGCACTGGCCCGGAAGGGGTTAAGACGGCCCCGAGCCGCTGCGGCTGCGCACTGCGGCGGGGGAGCTGTCCGCGGTGCTGGCCGTCCTGCGCCCCGCCCCCCGGCCCGGCCGGCCCGCCCCCATTGCGGTGCCGCAGCAACGCCGCGCGCCCAGCTCGGAGGGGGCGGGGAGGAACTAGGCATGCGCTCTGCGGAGGCCTCTGGCCTCTTAAACCACTGCAGAGAAGTGAAGGTGGGGGTAGGGGGAGTGCAGAGAGGACCTGCGCTGGCCCCCAGCCCACCCCAAAGTCCAGGGTCCTCTCTGTGGCCCTGAAACTCCCCAACCCCTACTTCCTAGCTCTGCACCTCAGTAAAGTCAAGCCCAGAGCCCATGCCCCAACCCCTGTGGAGGAAGGTGGGTGCACAGACCCACCACAAAGTCCAAGGCCCTCTCTTGTGGTCCGACAGTGGCCTCTCTGTGCTCTGCACCCCTGATTAGATGCAGAGCTCCCCATGCCTTCCCCTCCTGCACTACTCACAGGATTAAATCCCTCTCTTTACTATAACACCTGTCTTCCTTCCCTCTCCAACGCACTCCTCTCCCCTCCACCCCTCTGCGTATCTGATAAAGCCCATGACATCTCTAGGGGCCTGGCTCATTGCTTTCCTTCCCCAAGACCCTGACCCCGCTCCATCCTCTTCTAGGCCCTCATCAAAACCCACATCACTGTGTGGCAGGACTCTGGTCATCCCCCATCTTGAAATGGCTCAGGACCCTTCACCCTTCATCCTCTGCACCTTTGGCAAATGCCCAAACCTCTCTTTGGCCCTGCCTCTGCCCTCTCCCACAAGGTCCAGACCAGTGACTCTCCCTTCCTCTGCAGGGCCCTAAACCCTGCCTGACTCTCCTCTTCCCTTTTTGCAGGCTTAACCCTTCAACCCCTTCTCCCCTTAGGAGCCCTGACCCCCGGCTCCCCTCTGTGGCACCACCCTGTCCTCTCTGGGTGAGGCCTTGACCTTACCCTCCAACTAACTGCTGTCTCCATACCCACAGCTCAGATCTTCGAACTGTGTTCCAGGCACTGCTCCAAGCACTGTGTTTGGAGCCAAGTCCTTCTTACGCTCATCTAATTTAATCCTCACAACAGTCCCACTAAAAACTTCTGGTTCACAAAGCTCAATCTCTTTGCCCAATTTTGACAGGTTAAAAGCCAGATTCAAACCCAGGCATTCAAACCCAGGCTCTCTGACTCTTAACCACCTCATGATTCTGCCTCCCTGCCCACCTTCTCCCTTTCCCCTCCACTCAACTCCAAGCTGAGCCCCAAAGCCTCTGGGACACACAGGGTGTGTGATCTTAGATCCCGTAGCTCCCATCCTATAGAACCTGTGGACCCTGCTGGGGAGCCCTGAAATAGGACACAGGAAACAGGAGGTTGGGGGGAGGTGGTCTAGGAAACAGCAAGGGGCCAGAAATGTTTCCAAGGAAAGAAGCTGCCCATCTGTTGTGTCTGCTGGGGCCAGCTCTTTTCCAACTGCCTCTGTTCCTTTCTCTTCCCTTTTGCTAGTTTTAGAGGGGAGATTCTAGATCTAAAATCTCGAGATCTAGATGGGATTCTGGAATTCATGGAGCATAGGTGGGACACCTGGATTTTACCGAGTTTGGGCGCAGGAGGCTGGGGAAGGGGGCATGGGAAGGGTCTTCTGGAGGTTATGGTCAACCCGATGCCTAGATCACCTCTCCCCCCTCTCCCTCCCTGCCCTGCAGTATGTGGCCTTTGCCTCCCTCTTCTTCATCCTCATCTCCATCACCACCTTCTGCCTGGAAACCCATGAGGGCTTCATCCATATCAGCAACAAGACGGTGACCCAGGCTTCCCCGATCCCCGGAGCGCCGCCAGAGAACATCACCAACGTGGAGGTGGAGACGGAGCCATTCCTGACCTACGTGGAGGGAGTGTGCGTGGTCTGGTTCACCTTTGAGTTCCTCATGCGCATCACCTTCTGCCCGGACAAGGTGGAGTTTCTTAAAAGCAGCCTGAACATCATCGACTGTGTGGCCATCCTGCCCTTCTATCTCGAGGTGGGCCTCTCAGGCCTCAGCTCCAAGGCCGCCAAAGACGTGCTGGGCTTTCTGCGGGTGGTCCGCTTCGTCCGCATCCTGCGCATCTTCAAGCTGACCCGGCACTTCGTGGGGCTGCGCGTGCTGGGACACACGCTCCGTGCCAGCACCAACGAGTTTCTGCTGCTCATCATCTTCCTGGCCTTGGGGGTGCTCATCTTCGCCACCATGATTTACTACGCGGAGCGCATTGGCGCTGACCCCGATGATATCCTGGGCTCCAACCACACCTACTTCAAGAACATCCCCATTGGCTTCTGGTGGGCCGTGGTCACCATGACAACCCTGGGCTATGGAGACATGTACCCCAAGACGTGGTCGGGGATGCTGGTCGGGGCGCTGTGTGCCCTGGCGGGGGTGCTGACCATTGCCATGCCCGTGCCCGTCATTGTCAACAACTTTGGCATGTACTATTCGCTGGCCATGGCCAAGCAGAAGCTGCCCAAGAAGAAGAACAAACATATCCCCCGCCCCCCGCAGCCGGGCTCACCCAACTACTGCAAGCCTGACCCACCCCCGCCACCCCCGCCCCACCCGAACCACGGCAGCGGGGGCATCAGCCCGCCGCCACCCATCACCCCGCCCTCCATGGGGGTGACTGTGGCCGGGGCCTACCCAGCAGGGCCCCACACACACCCCGGGCTGCTCAGGGGGGGAGCGGGTGGGCTGGGGATCACGGGGCTGCCTCCTCTGCCAGCCCCTGGCGAGCCTTGCCCGTTGGCTCAGGAGGAGGTGATTGAGATCAACCGGGCAGGTGAGCCTGGGCGTCGGGTGGGGGGCACCCATGGAGACCCGGGGAGGAGTGGGGAGGTAGCTGCCGAGGTTAAGAGAGCCTTGAGTGGTCAGCATCGAAGACACGAGGGAGCGTAAAACCATTAGCAGGAGCTCAGGCCAAGAAGGAGGCACAGATAGTCACACAGAGACATAGGTTTCGCGGGAAGGAGTTTTGGGGAGAAACAGATTTGCAAGGTATTCAGAGGGGCCAGTGAGGCAGAGGCAGCATCATCAGCTGTACAGTGAGAGGGACCTGGAGAAGGAGAGTGGGGCTCAGAGAGAGACACACAGAGAGGGTCTCCCACAAATCACAGGCAGACCCGACACAGAGCCCCAGGGACGGTGCTGAGCATCCGGCGACAGCCCTGAGGGAAGAGAGACTGAAGACGATAGGGTCTGCGGCGGGAGTCAGAAACCCGAGAGATGTCATGGAGACCAGAGGAAGAGATGGGATGCAGATTTTTGATGTGGATGGGAGCCGTCAGTGGCACAGTTTGGGTTCTAATGACAGCGAGCCTGAGGTGAACAGACTTCAGAATAGAGAGTCAGGCCAGGGCAGAGCCCCCAGGGCAGAATGGAAAGCAGGGCCCGGTCAGTGGGCTTTGCTGCAGGCAGCTTGGGAAGGTCCTGGAGAGAGATCCGGAGAGGTGTTGCTCAGAGGAAGACAGGGAGAGAGACGAGGAGAGAAGAAAGCTGCCTGTGCCTCTGTGTGTGTTCAGCGCCTCAGAGGCAGTGGCCTGGGAGTCTGAGAGGAGGGAGAGGCTGGTGGCCCCCCTGCATCACCCTGCCTTAAGTAGGTCAAGAAAGGGAGCTGGGCCACCTGGCCCCCATCTTGCTCCCTCAGCCGCTGACCCAGTTTCACACCAATTAAAAATAGCTGGAGTCAGAGCCTAGGGGACCCCCACCTCCCATCTCTCACCTTCCCAAGCCCTTCCCCATAGTGCCCTTCCCAGAGCCCAGCACTCCTCCCTAAACAGCCACTTCCTAGCCTGCCACTCCTCCCCAGCCATCCCTCCACCTCCTACCCCTACCCCAGCCAAGTTCCCCAAAGTTTGCTCCAGCCAACCACCCCGCAACACGGCCTTGCCCTCTTCCCAGCACCCAACTTGCTTCATCCCCAACCATCTCTTTTATTTCCTTCCCCACCCCCAGGGATGGAGTCTCGCTCTTCTCCCAGGCTGGAGTGCAGTGGCACCGTCTCGGCTCACTGCAGCCCCTGCCTCCCAGGTTCAAGCAGTCCTCCTACCTCAGCCTCCCAAGTAGCTGGGACTACAGGTGCACGCCACCACGCCTGGCTAATTTTTGTATTTTTGGTAGAGACAGGGTTTCACCATGTCAGTCAGGCTGGTCTCGAACTCCTGAGCTCAAGTGATCCAGCGGCCTCAATCTTCCCAAGCGGTTGGATTGCAGGCACAAGCCACCCCATCCAGCATCTTTATTCTTTTTCTTTTTTTTTTTTTAGACAGGGTCTCACTCTATCACCTAGGCTGGAGCTGTGGTGCCGCCATGACTCACTGCAGGCTGACCTCCCAGGTTTAAGTGATCTTCCTGCCTCAGTCTCCAGAGTAGCCAAGACTACAGGCGTGCACTACTGTACCCGGCTAATATTTCTACCTTTTGTAGAGACGGGATTTTTTTTTTTTCTTTTTTCCTGTCAACTTCCTCAGGTTGAAATAGAGACGGGATTTCGTTGCCAGAGCTGGTCTCGAACTCATGGCCTCAAGCAGTCCTCCCACTTCAGCCTCCCAAAGTGCTGGGATTACACTCATGAGCAACTATGCTGAGCTCCAGATAATATCTTTAAACAGCACCACACCCCAATCCTGCTCTTCCTGGTACCCCACATCTGGCACCACCACCACATCCCAGCTCTCAGCACCTCCCCGCACCACCTGTCTCTGTCCACCTCCCTGTCCAGACCACCCTTCCCGACTACAGTCGACCTTCCCAGCACTCAACACCCTCGCCTATGATGACCCTCCAGCCAAGCCCCCTTGATACCCTCTCCCAGCTGTGCCCCACCCCCGCCACCGTCCTGGCCGCTCCTTCCCATCACCCTGCCCCTGAATCTCCACTTCCAGCACTGAACATCCTCCAGCACTCCCAGCATCAGCTCCTTGCAGACCATCTTGCCCCTCCACATATTCACTGCACCTCACTCTCGCCTTTGTCTCTGTTTGACACCCTTGGGAGCAGATCCTCGCCCCAATGGGGATCCGGCAGCAGCTGCGCTTGCCCACGAGGACTGTCCAGCCATTGACCAGCCCGCCATGTCCCCAGAGGACAAGAGCCCCATCACGCCTGGAAGCCGTGGCCGCTACAGCCGGGACCGAGCCTGCTTCCTCCTTACCGACTATGCCCCTTCCCCTGATGGCTCCATCCGAAAAGGTGAGATGTCCCCCCACTGGCCCCCTGGGACCCTCCCTCTCTCTCCCCTGCCCAGAGGAGGGAGGAGAGGGTGATGGGGAAGGAGGCGCTGGACTTCCCTTCCCCCCCTCCCTTGGCCCCAAACCACCTCCCTCCCAGATCTTCCCCGTACCCCCGCCCCAAGTTTCCTCACCACTGACCCTTCACCTGTCTTTATTCCATGTCCATTCCTCCGAACCCTCTGGCCTCTTCCCCCACCCCCAGCCACTGGTGCTCCCCCACTGCCCCCCCAAGAGTGGCGTAAGCCAGGCCCCCCAAGCTTCTTGCCCGATCTCAACGCCAACGCCGCGGCCTGGATATCCCCCTAGTGGATGAACCCCCTCCCCCGGGGTAAGTAGCCCCCCTCCTCTGATCCCCCCACTCCCAGACTCCCCACTCCTGCCTGACTAACGCCTCTGAGAACATGCAGCCCCCACTGACCAAGACTCCGGCCCCCTCACTGCAAACAGCTGTACCCACTTAACCTCCAGCTCTTGACACTGACCCCACACCCACCTACCCAGGACTCACCCTGCTCCTCACTAACCCCCGAACTAACCCAACCCTGCCTCCCACACTGTGCCTGCCCTCACGACTGACCCCATCCTCACTCCCATCAGCATCTCTGCCTCCCTCCTTGGCCCTAGGGTTTTAAAAATTCAACAAGGAAAGCAGAGGGCATGCCCAGAACACTTCTGGGTGCAGGATAGGAAGAGAAAGGTTCAGCCGCCCATCCATTCCCCTGTGAATTCAGCCAGTGCTTAGACAGCACCCACGAGCCCCAGGTGCTGGCCATGGGGAGTTCAACTGTGAACAAAATCCAAGCCCCCAGGAGCTTCCACTTTGGAGCAGGAGGCAGACAGGGACCTAGAAAGTCATTGTTTGAGGAGATATATGCTAAAACGGAGGGAGAACAGGCAGTGAGAGGACCACTAGAAACTCCCAGGGGAGGGGGGTGAGCATCAGGAAAGAGTCGGTATCTGCAGTGGGACCCTAAGGTTGACCAGGAGTCCTGGCCACATGCAGAGGAAGTGATCCCATTCAGGAATGGCTGGAGGGAACTGCAGGACAGCGCCTCGGAGACTAGACCCTGGAGGGAGAGGGATTCTCGGGTGAGGTGAAGCCGTGGCCAGGCTGAGAGGCTGCAGCCTTGTCTAGGGGGCTGGGGAGGAGGCAGGTAAGCTGGGAGGGGCAGCTCTGGGGTCTTGTGAGGATGGACTGGAGGTGAGAGGCTGGAAGTCAGGAGGCTGGAGAAGAGGCTGAGGTGACAGGTGGAAGCCTGAGCTGAGGCCAGGGATGTGGGGATGGAGAGGAAGGGGTGAGGCAGAGAGAGTCAGGGGTCAGGGAAGAGGAGGGACAGGCCGGGGGATGCCGGCCATGCAGCAGTGAGGGAGTGCTAGTTAGATGAATCATTCAGCAAACATCACTAAGTACTTACACCACATGCTAGGAATGTAACAACCCGAGCCAACTCCTAGCTTCTTTCATTCATGTATTCAATCCATTCATTCACTGTTTTGGCAACTGATTCTTTTCCTTTTTTTGAGACAGAGCCTTGCTGTGTCACCCAGGCAGGAGTGCAATGGCACAATCTCAGCTCACTGCAACCTCCACCTCCTGGGTTCAAGCGATGGGGTCTTGCTATGTTGGCCAGGTTGGTCTTGAACTCCTGGGCTCAAGTGATCCTCCTGCCTTGGCCTTCCAAAGTGCTAGGATTACAGACATGAGCCACTACCCCTGGCCACAACTGATTCTTGAGAACATAGTTCCAGGCACTGTAGATTTGGGATAACAAATTATGAATCTGCCATTAGGGTTTACAGTCTAGGGCAGGGATCAGCAAACTAACTGATCCTTCAGCCATCTGGTTTTGTAAATAAAGCTTTACTGGAACACAACCATGTTGAGCCACAACAGCAGAGTGGAATAATTGGGTCAGAGACTATACAGCCCCCATAGCCAAAGAGATTTACTATCTGTCCTTTTGCAGGAAAAGTTTCCAGTCCCCCATAGGAGGAAGCGGAAAATAAGCAATTGAGGCTGGGTGCAGTGGCTCATGCCTGTAATCTCAGCCCTTTGGGAGGTTGAGGAGGGCAGATCACTTGAGATCAGGAGTTTTGAGACCAGCCTGGCCAACATGGTGAAAACCCATCGCTACTAAAAATACAAAAATTAGCTGGGCGTGGTGGTGGGCACCTGTAGTCCCAGCTACTCAGGAGGCTGAGGCAGGAGAATCGCTTGAACCCAGGAGGCAGAAGAAATTGCAGTGAGCCGAGATTGTGCCACTGCACTCCAGCCTGGGCGACAGACAGTGAGAGTCCCCTCAAAAAAAAAAAAAAAAGAACAAGAAGAAAAGAAGGAAGGAAGGGCAAAAGCAATTAAGATAAAGGTAAAAGAACAAGATTATTAGTCTGGCCACTTCAGTTAAAGAGGTCTGGCTGGGCACAGTGGCTTCCACCTATAACTCCAGCACTTTGGGAGGCCAAATTGGGAGTCACCTAGGAATTTGAGACCAGCCTGGGCAACTTAGCAATACCTATTTCCTCCAAAAAAAACCCTTTGGTGTGGTGGTGCATGCCTGTAGACCCAGCGATGGGAGGCCGCACTGAGCCGTTATTGTGCCACGGTGCTCCAGCCTGGGGGACAGAGTGGGACCCTGCCTCTGGGGAAGCGGAGTTCTGCCAAGGACTTTTTGAGGAGGTGACACAGAACCTGAAGGGTGGAAAGGGCCAGGCAGGGGGAAGGAATGGAAGGAATGGCAGGTGGACAGGCCCTGAGCTGCCTGGGGTAAAGGGACAGCAAGGAGTGCTGTGAGGCTGTTCCCAGTGGCCAAGGGGAGAGGGCTGCCGAAGTCTCGGAGAAAGATCAGGGTGGGTTCTGTGGCCATAGTGAGGAGGCAGGACTTTATTTTAAATGTGAAGGGAAGCCACATGAAGGTACGTGGTCCACGCTTTCATTCAACAACCGTCTGTGGAATCGTTTCTAGAAATGTAGACGCATCCTCAAGAATGCCTGCCCACAGCTTAAGGAGATGCCGTGGGGGAACTTGGGGAGCTTCCAGGGATGGCATCATCTAAACCCCTGTGTTTCACAGCAGTTCAGGGAGGGCCGTGACCACCCCACGACCCCAGGCCACAGAGCACCCTGGGAGAGCCCAGGCTTCCCAGCTCCTAGTCCAGAGCGGGGATTGTCTGGCTCCTCTTGCTTCCATCCCCACCTCTCCTTTTTACAACCCCCTTCATTGTCCATTTCCATCTCATCCCCCCACTCCCCTCCCCATTCCTATCTAACCCCTCCCCCCCCCCCCCCCCCCGCCGCTTGCACCCACTCCCAGTCCTTTACCTTCCTCTGTTCTCCACCCCCAGGTCTGGAGGGGCCCCTGTGGGATTGAGGGGAAGAGGGCGTGGGGAGGGCATAGGCCTAAGGGTGAAGGAGGATTGGGGTTGGGGTGGCTGGGTGGGGGAGGTCCCTGCTTCTCTTGCCTATGATGCCAGAATCCATTCATTGAACTCAAATCATGGCTGGAGCTGATGGGGTTGGCTGAAGTGTGCCCTGGGTCCTTCCCCCTCCATCCCTCCCAAGCCTCTTCCTTGCTCTTCCACAACCCCCTTCCCACAAGACCCCTTTGGCCTATTGTCCCCATGCTCCTTCCCCCAAGTCTCTCCCACCTCGACCTTCCCTTCCCAATGGTTTTGGTTTTGAGATGGGGTCTTGCTCTATCGCCCAGGCTGGAGTGCAGTAGCGCGATCTCGGATCACGGCAGCCTCTGCCTCCTGGGTTCAAGCGATTCTCCTGCCTCAGCCTCCTGAATGGCTAGAATTACACATGCTTGCCACCATGCCCTGCTAATTTTTGTATTTTTAGTAGAGACAGGGGTTTTACCATCTTGGCCAGACTGGTCTTGAACTCCTGGATTCAAGTGCTCCCCCTGCCTCGGCCCCCCAGAGTGCTGGGATTACAGGTGTGAGCCACCGTGCCCATCTTCTTCCCTCTCTAATTGTCCCCTATGGTCCTCCCAAGACCCTCCTTATCTCTAGGCCTGTCCTCCACCCATGCTCCTCCCTCCTACATCTGCCCTCACCTGATCACTGGCTCCCACTCCTCCCCAGCACTCTCTCCCCTCTCCCTCCCTTAGCCACCCCGGAAGCTCCCTCCATATTTGATGTCTCAGCTCTCAGCTGCCCCCCATTTCACTGCTCCCCTCCCCCGGAAAACACCTGAGAGGAGGAAGAGATGCTGGTGGAGTTTCTCCATCCCCCCAACAGTGAGGCTGTGTTGGGGGGTTTCCCCTGACCATCCTCCCTCCCCGCCATGACTCTGTGTATTTCTGTCCCCAGCTCTTGTCACCGCCTGAGACCTCGCAGGACCCTCGGTCCCCCCCTGCCCCTTCCCCCCAGGTTAGCAATTGGGAATGGCTGGGTGGGGGTGTTCCCAAAACACTGGGCTTCATATCTCCCCCCAAGCCCTCTCTCCTCCGATCAAGATACCTTCATCCAGACAGTCCCCTTAGTGTGGCCTGGAAAAGCCACAAAACTCCCTGTGGGGGCTGCAGAACCGTGCCGGCAGCGCTGAGCTTTGTAGAAAACACACACACTGCTGCTGGATCTTGAGTCCCATTAGCTACAAGATACTGTGAGCGCTTTCCCGCACCCATCAGAAGCTCAGAGCCTTCTGGGACCCTTTAAAGTGGTCTCTCACCAGACCTCCCCCGTCCTTCCCCCCTCCCCGCCTCCTTAGAATCTTCCAGAGGAGCCTCCCTTCCCCCAACTCCCCCACTGCTCTTGGAATTCTCATCTGATTCCCCAAGGGCACTGCCAGCTTCACTCCACTCAGCCCCCTGACAGACCCCACCCCCTGCCTGCCCTCTTTCCCTAAAACTAGGTCAACCCCCAGCCCCGCCTCGGTTGCACCATTCCCTGCCCTCTCCACTGGCTGCTCCCACATGCATTCCACCCAGCCCATTCCCACGCCCCTGCCGCCCACCATCCCGCCCTGCTGCCCCCCGGACCTTTTGCCTCAGATGAGGGGACCAGTGGAGGAGGGAAGTGGGGCGGACTGCGGTGGGGACGGGGCGGGGGAGGCTCGGTGGGCACCAACCTGCCTCCTAATCCAGAGTCTCTCCCCCTCCCCGATGTTTCCCCCTTTCTCGTCGATGTTGACTGACTCCCCGATTTGTTCACTTTCTCTCTCTATCTCCTTGATCCACCTCTATCCATCTTTGTCTCTTGTCATCTGTCCTCTTGTGTCTCTGCCTGTCTCTCTGTCTCTTACCCTCTCTCTCTTGCCTTGTCTCTGGGTCTCTCTTGCCTTGTCTCTGGGTCTCTCTTGTCCTCTCCATCCCTTTCTTTGTCTGTCTCTTTCTCCCTGCCTTGGGTCTCTCTGTCGGACCTTTCCCTGCACCCCCATCTTTGTGCTTCCCCCCTATTCCTCACACCTCCCCACCCCCCAGGTTACGAGAAATCCCGCAGCCTGAGCAGCATCGCGGGCCTGAGCGGGGTGTCCCTGCGTCTTGCGCCCCTTGCCACCCCCCCTGGCTCTCCCCGGGCCGCCCGCCGCGCGCCCCCGACCCTGCCCTCCATCCTCTAGCGCTCCCCTCCCCCCTGTGGGGGGACTCGGGGGTGACTGGGAAGAAGGTCAAAGGAGCTGGGGGCGGGGGGTGGGGAAAAGGGTTTTTTAAAAAAAATCAAAAAGTCATTAATAATATGCAACCGAGATGACGATGCCAGCAGACACCCCCGGGCCCCTCACCCCCAACCTGGGCCCCACCAGGATGGACAGAGGGGCCACAGCCTGTCCCCCCCGACTCTTCCCCCCCAAAATAAGCCTTCTCAGGTCTCCATGAGCCATAGGACATACCCCTCCCATCAACTAGTGTAAATAGGTCCAAATTAAGCCAGTTACATCTTGGGGCCCCTCCCCTGCACACTGCATGCCTTCCCTAACCTGGAGCCCCCACTCCAAGTCCACCTCAGCAATAAGCCGCCAGGGGCTGCATGTGTGGGTTCGAGGGGCAGGCACTCTGGGAAGGGGGCTGGCACCTCCCGGGGGTCCGGATGGCCTTTTGGGTCTCCAGCCTTCCCATCCTTCACCCCAGGAGGACCACCAATCCTGTGTGTTGATTAGGGGAAAACAAACCAAAAACTAGAACCAACAGAGGGGAAGGAGGAACAGTTACCCAAGCCCCAAATCGGAGTTGAGCTCAGATGGAGGGAGGCGGGTCAGGCTTCGGACCTGCTGGCTCAGCCTTTAGGACGATTCCTCTGGTGAATTTCACCCTCTCATCTGCCCCTCCCCCAGGACCTGCTCGCCTCTATTCTTGCTGCATGGACTCAGAACTCCTATCCCAGGATTCCTGGGATGATCTGGCCCTAGCACACGAAATTCCTCAACTATCCCCCTCCATTCCCAGGACATGAGACCTGCACCCAGAATTCTGAGACCGACCCTGGCACCCCACATTCCCCAAACCCCACACGGTCCTGTGACCCTCTGCACACAGAGGCTCCCCCAGTTGCCCTCCCCCCACAGCCCACCACCTCAAACCCTCACAAATTCCTGAGCTGCATCCCAGCACTTCTCAAACCTCCAAGACTTGACCCAGCTCTTTTCAGCTCAAATTCAGCCTTTGGGATGCTCCAAAATCTTCCCACAACTGACATTTCCTGGACACCCCCAAATCCTCAGGCCTGCTCCCGCCCCCTACATCCCCAAAGCCCTAATAGACTTGTCCAGCCCAGGTTCCCTTGACGCTAGAACTTCCAAGATAGGCCAGCCTGTCTGCAATTCCAGGGAACCAGACCCTCCCCAGGCACTCTGTCTTACGCCTGACCCTGAGTCCCTTCCCTGAGACGGTACCCTCTTCACAGACACCAGTGTTTCCCAGAGGGTCGTGTTTGTACCCTTGGTGGTATGCTAACGTTTTAGGCAGTTCAAGGACAAACACTTGTTTTAAAAGTTTTGTCTCTAATGCGCACATTTTGTACAGAAGCCGGTGAGTGCAGGCATCGCTGCCTGGCTCGGACACGTTTTATTTAGGTTAAGAGTGTTTCCATTTAAAGTAGTCCACAAATGATCACCGAGGCTGTTCCCGAAGGGAAATACACTGGAATATCAGAAGACTGGGAACCGACAACATACTCAACTCGGCTGGGATCCCAGCCCCCCTTCCCCAGCGGTCCTCGCCGCGTCGCGCTCGCGGGTGGAAAACCATTTCCCACCTCCCATCCTGGCTCAAGGATGCGCTACCTCCCCCAAGCCCAGAGACCACATCGGTCCCAGACTCTTAGCGGATCTCCCTTTTGGAGCCGGGGGCCCTTGAATTAGCAACTTCCCTCCCTCTGCTCCCACGGCCTCAGGAACCCCCCACCCGAGGGTGGATGGGGGGCGTCACTGAGCACGATTCTCGATGCAACGATTCCTATGCAAGGGGCATTTTGAGTCCCCCCCATCCTTCCCTCGGACCCTAAACCCTGGTGAATCAGGGGTGAGGGGTGGGGCGGGTTTTGGTGGGGGCGGGGCAAAGGGCTAGGGGCTCCAGACACCAGGGTACGGGGTGGGGACTGATAATATTGCCAAAGGGTTCAACTTCTTTAACAAGCCCCCCCTCCGTTTCCCTGACCTTCATGAAAGCCGAAGGGGGCGGGGAAAGGGGGTGAGGGTCTTTTCCAAAGGGTACTGACCTCTTCCCAACGTCTCCCCCTGCTCGCCAATCCGCCAGACGTACCCAGCTTTTTAGTTCAGCTTTTCGAAATAACCACAATCATGATAAACTACAAAACGTGATTCTCCTCCCCTCCCACCCCATCCCCCAAGACAACAGTGTGGGATTCGGGGAGGGAGAGCGAGCGAGCTAAAGGGACTCTTTCCAAGTCCGGCTCTCCCTTTTCCCCCCCGGCCGCCAGGGTGCCTGCACCTACACGCATGCGCTGCATGACGCGCCCCCCACACGCATGTCGCACCCCTCCTGCGCTCCGGGAACGCACGGACACGGGCCAGGGGGCGGGGCGATTGGGGAGGAATGAATGGCGGGGGGGGGGTCTTCCTGAGCTCCGAGCTCCGCGGCTCACCCTCCCCAACATACACACACAGCAATAAGTTTCTCTCACTCAAATGTGGGCGGGGCGGGCCTAGCCTGTCGCTGGGTGGGGGGAGTGGCGAGGGGGCGCTCTCAGGGATGGGGGCGGGGTTCGGAGTCAGTGTGGGGAGGGGAGGTCTGCAAAACGTCCAACTTTGGTGCTAATGGCGGGTCTTCTCAGCCCACCTGCAGGGCAGGGAGGGAGGGGTCGGCACGGCCCCTTCCCCAAGCCTCCCCCACGCCCACCCTGGGTGCATGAACCGCCCAATGCAGAAGCTGCCGCATGTCACCCCCCTCTCCCCAAAGAAAAAGTGTCATGCCCCCTTCCCACCCACCCTCACTCCCCACCAAAATAAAAGTTCCTTTTCATTTAAAAATTTCCTCCCGTGTGCCTGCTGGGAAAGTGTCCCGATTGCGGCTGGGGTGCACAGAGGGATTGGGACTTAGAGTGGGGCCCTGTTGCTGGGCACGGTGGCTCAGGCCAGTAATCCCAGCATTTTGGGAGGCCAAGGATGCAGGAAGATTGCTTGAGGCCAGGAGTTCAAGACCAGCCTGGACAACAGAGAGAGACCCTGTCTTTACAAAAAATAAGATAAAATTAGCGAAGTGTGGTGACATCTGTAGTCCCAGCTACTCAGGAGGCTGAGGTGAGAGAATCGCTTGAGCCTGGGAGGTTGAGGCTGTCGTGAACCATGACTGTGCCACTGCACTCCAGCCTGGGTGACAGAGTGAGACCCTATCTCAGTTTTTTAAAAAAGGGGAGGATGGGCTTTGGTGGTCCTGCTATCCTCTCAATAACTTGCACCTTATTTAGGGCAAGCACCTGCTTCAGTTTCCCTGATGGTAAAAATGGAGATCAACACGTCTAACTGAAAAGTCACTGAGGGCTGGGCGTGGTGGCTCAAGCCTGTAATCCCAGCACTCTGGGAGGCTGAGGAGGGCGGATCACCTGAGGTCAGGAGTTCATAGACCAGCCTGGCCAACAAGGTGAAACCCTGACTCCACTAAAAATACAGAAATTAGCTGGACACGGTGGCAGGTGCCTGTAATCCCAGCTATTTGGGAGGCTGAGGCAGGAGAATCACCTGAATCCGGGAAGCAGAGGTTGCAGTGAGCCGAGATGGTGCCACTGCACTCCAGCCTGGGGACAGAGTGAGGGTCCATCTCAAAAAAAAAAAGTCACTGAGGGCTCAGTCTGAGTAACATGAGCCCCTACACGAGGGTGTCTAGTTCCCGGGGTGGGGATGGGGATAGACCTGGGTCCCCACAGTGGGGTCAAGGGCTGAGGGCTCAGGCTCCATATGTGCTGACTCTGAGGCCAGACTGTCCAGGTTCAAACTGTTTCAACTTCTTATCAGCTGTGTGTCCCTGGGTGAGTCAGTCAGCCTCTCTGAGCCGATTTCCACCACTCTAAGACTGGGAGGGGCGTCACTTAGTCATTCAGCAAATACTGAATGAGTGTGCCTGCTGCGTGCTAGGCACCGGAGTGCAATGAAATCTCTACCTGCAGTGCCGTCCTGAGGGTTATGGCAAACTGCGTGCTCAACACAGCACCCGGCACGAACGACCATGGCTGTCCTTTTGTTCGGTTTTGCTTTTGAGACAGGATCTCACTCTCACCCATGCCAGAGGGCGGTGGTGCAATCATAGCTCACTGCAGCCTCCACCCCTGGGCTCAGGTGGTCCTCCCACCTCAGCCTCCCAAAGCACCGGGCGCAGGTATGAGCCACTGCAGCAAGCCTGTCACTTCTTCTGCAAACACTCGAGAGCTGGCCCAAGTTCAACGGTGCTTCTGGCAGTCCCTGGGGTGTGGCGTGTGGGATGCTGCGCTCAGACTGTCCCTCATCTGTGCAGTGGAGGGAATGTGTCCATGGTACACCGGGGTGAGGAGGAAAGGAGTTATGAAGTGCCTGGTCCACAGGAGGCCCCTGTACACCCACGCACTGTGATTGAAACCAGCGGGCTGCCTGACCTGCTGCCCCAGCAGTCTGAAGCAGCGCGTGCCCATCCTGCCCCATCAGAGGCCCCCTTCGGGAACACACACAGCCACACAGATGGTCCAGTCGGAGGTTGGAGTTTATTTCTGCCAGAGGCTGGAGGCTGGGAGGGTAAAGGACACTCCTTCAGCCCCAGAGGGAAGCTCCAAACCGTCAGAGCAACCAGAAGGGCAGGCAGAGCATGGGCAGCAGCAGAAGTGAGAGCGGTCCCCTTGTCCTGCCCCTTTGCGAGGGTTCAAGGCTGGTGGAGGGCTGGGGCTTCTGACACTCAGGAGTTCAGAAAGGGGGTAAGGAGAGTGGCTACATAGAAAGTGAGAGCGAGACTCCTAGAAAGATGCACAGAGAGACCCTCAGAGAGGCCAAGAAAGAGAGTGAGAGAGGAGGGAGGGAGAGGGAGTGAGAGAGAGAAGCAGAGGGAACGGGGAGCACTGGCTGAGGGCAGTGGAGGAGCCCTCTCGCTCCCTTCCTAATACCCATAGATCAATAACGCGGGAAGAAAGGACAGGGAGCTGATGAGAACCAGCTTGCCAACTGCACCCAGCCTCCTCCCAAGCAAGAGAGCTCCAGTCCTTGCCGCCCCACCTGCCCCGCTCCTCTGTGTTTAGGGGTCATCCTTTGATAGAGGTTGCAGGGGGCCCAGGTGGGGGTGACAAATGCCAGAGTGTGGCACTGTTTCCAAAGGACAGGAAGACAGAGGGCAGGGTTCCTGGGACAGGGGTCCCTGGGGGCCAGGGAGGAAAGGGGCTGTGCCCCATCTGTTAGTGCATCTGGGGACAGGGTAGGGTCACTGGGGGTGGGCTGATGGGGACCCCTCAGGCTCCGGGGATGGCCCAGACCCAGGCTCTGCTTCCTCCGCCTCCTCGTCGGATGCCACGCCCTCCTCTAGTCGGAAGACCTGCCGTACAGTGCGGGTGGTGAAGGTGAGGGGGCCACGTCTGTGGAGGGGAGAGACAGGGACACAGAGATGAAATGAGAGGAGAGAGAGAGAGAGAACAAAATGAGGGGGAGAGAGAGGTGAGATGAGGAGAAATGGAGGGAGATGGGCAGAAGCAATGGGGGGCAGAGAGAGATGAGGGACACAGAGAGAGGAGGAATGGACAGAAAGGTGGTGGCGCATGATGGGAAAGGAGGGCACAGAGGTGAGACAGGGAGAAACGGGTGTGGGAAGAAAGAAGTTCCCTGGATCTGGCTCTCCCCCAGCACAGCCCCTGTTCCCGCAGCCGCACGCCCCCATGGGTCCCATGTCCCCGTCTTGCCGCCCCTGGCAAGGCCTTGCCCCCCCGGGGTTTGTGCAGTGCGGCTGCTGCCCACCCGTCAGGCCCGCATCTGGGATGGCCGTACCGGAGCCGGTTCCTCAGTGTGGTCACTTCACGGTTCATGGACTCGGCTGACTCTGTGACATCTTCCAGCTCACGCTGCAGCCTCCGGCGGCCGGCCTGAGCCCGGGACGCCTCCTCTTCGGCCTCCTCCAGCTGCCGCTTCAGCTGCTTCACCCGAAGGTTTCCCTTCTCCAGCTTGGCGAGAGCAGGGGACCAGGTTCTATCTCCAGGTACTGTCATCACTCCCTCGCTCCCCAACAGCCCACGACTGCCCCATCCCTGCAGCCCCCTGACTCTCTGCCCCATGCTCTGCTCTCTGTTTAGGCCTTATTCTTTTCCCCGAAAGCCCTCATGCCAACCTCTACCTGACCTCCAGGCTCTGCCCTCTAGGTTGTCTCCTACACGGCCTCAGAGAGGTCTTTCTATACCCAGAGCTGACCCAGACCCTCCTGCTCACAATCCTTTCATGACTCCCCAGTACCCCTGGGACAAAATTCCAGCCCCTGAGCCCGGCATTCCAGGCCCTGCAGGGTCATTTTCTTGTCCATTTTCTTGTCCATTTCT